GACAGCTTGAACTTCTGGGTAGGTTCATCAAGGATCACTTGCACACAACTCTCCACTTTCCGAGTGTAGTAGCTATATTGTTACTAGTAGAAGGCCAGCCCCTAGTAGCGTCCTTGCTCCTAGTACATGCTGCTTGGTATTCTTCTGGCACCACTTGCAGGAGCTTCCAGCTCTTCCGTTGCAGCAGGCTGGGAATTGGTCTATTAGATCATTTTTCTTCTTTTGGGACTTCTTCCGGTCTACTAAGAACTCCTTGTGAGAGAGCCGGGCGTTGGTCAGGCGGAACAGCACCTGCGGCGAAGCTTCCGGCATAAGGCACCGCTCCGTCCCTTCGAGTTTGAGCCTCCAATGGTTGAAATATGTTTAACACTTGTTCCTAGTAGCGAACCTTGTTACTACTAGTAAGGCACTTGTTACTAGAAGCGATGCACTTGTTCCTAGTAGCTACTTGTTACTATCAATTTATGCTTACAATGTAGGTCTTGCAGAAAGTCCTATTTCCTTCGGACAGGTGAATTCACTGCGGTGCCTTGGGCAGAAAGTGCTTCTGACACTGTTGCAGGCTTGACCACGTGCTTTGCAATGCTTTGCATGCTTTTTTAGGTACCAAATGGTAGTACTCAATGGTACGAAAAAGGGCAAGGAAGGTGCAGCTATGTTGACTGTCAGGTGCAGTTTGTTTCTGAGAATCCCTCCAAGCGCCGGAGAAGGGATTTGCCTGGCAATGCAGAGGAAATGGTTGTGGATCCGAGATTTCGGGTTGTGTCGGACTGCTAAGATCTTGTTATCCTTTCGGTTTTGTACCGAGGCCTGGTCCTCCCCTCTATTAAGATCTCGATTGCTGAGGATCGCACGCAGCTCTGCAAGTAGTATTCAACGTTAGCATACTCCAACCCACCCCGCCCTGCTGATGGTGATGAGGATTGCGCGCAGGTCTGCAAGTTGTTTTGAATGTTAGCATCCCATGCCCATGCTGATGGTGATGTGGATCGTGCGCAGGGCTTCAAGTGGTTTCAGCGTAAGCGTGCCCCACCCCACCCCACCCCACCTTGCTGATGAGGACCGCGCCCCAGTCTGCAAGTGCTTTGACCATTAGCATACCCCACCCCACGCCACCCCACCCATGATGCTGGTGATGCTTGCTGTCGTCGCAAGTGATCGGCGAAAAAAGTGGTCAACAGGTTGCAACGCTAGACCTATGGTACCATCGACCACGGCATGTTTGAGCTAAGCGTTTGTATTCAAGAACAGGTTAGCAGTCAAAAGGTGTTCTTTATTGTGTTGGCCTGTCCGAAAATCATGCTGCTCCTCCAGATGTTGCGTCAGTAAACAAATATGTTGCAGAAAAGTCAGATATTCGCAATCGGCCGAACATCGTTCCCATTTCATTGCTGCCGCCTTTTTCGCAAGCATCGCAATCATTTTTTTGATACACTCTTCAATTGCCAGCGGCTGTGCCATATCTGGGGGCAAGGCTGGCACTGGAACAAGCAGGCTGGCCCGAAAAACAAAAGGTTCCTTGAGTTCCTTGTGCAACTTTTATATCGCAGGACTTTCGCCAGTTTTTCGAATGCAAGCTGTTTGTTTTTCAGCACTGCATCAGTCAGAGCCACTTTTCTTGCCGCAGCGCTGGCTACATTTGAGCACTTGAGCAGGTAAACATTAGTTCCTAGTGACTTTGTGTCTTCATGACACAATGTGGTACAGCGTGACCATTCACAGTATGGACATGTGCAAGCACGGAAGTGTTGTGAATAGGTGAGAAGATGCGATCAGAAATATGCTCCAGGCATCTCATTTTGCACCATCCTCCAACAGGGCCAGGCGTCGCAAAGTTTTCAACATGCCCGGAGGAGTGGCAGCTACTGCCCCGCACAAAGTTTCAAAGGGTGTTCCATCACTAAAGCGCAAGCTCCGATGACTGACGGCTGACCACGTTGGCCTTTACCCCTCTGTTTGTCACGTGGTTAGACGCCAACACGTGGCGTGGTTCCGGAAGGGCGGCGCCATGGAGTGTGCAATGGTCCTGGGTGCAGGCATGGTGGTGATTGTGATTGCGCTTTGTGCTTGACCTTCTGCTATCTTCTGCCAGGATCTTTCTCCATGGGGGCAGTTTCAATTGGGAGTGTTGCAGCCTTGGCCTTGGCCTGACTCGTGGAGCTTGTTCTTCCCCATCATTGTGCGTCATTCCGCAGTACATGGTCAAGTGGTGCTTTGCAATGGTTTTTGGCTTGCTGTGTCGGCATGAGTCGGCATGTTGTCCAACTCTTGTCACGACTCTTTTCCCAAAGCGGTGCTGAGTTGGATGGGAGGCAGGGACGACCGGATCTGCCGCGGGCATCGCTACAACAGTGGCAGCTGGCGCAGCTGGCAGCGCAGCGGGCGCTGCAACGGCTGCAACGCTGCTGGTTCCCGCAGAGCCTTGGCAAAAGAGTTTGTTGGTCTCAGGCATTGCTTTCCAGCTTGGATATTTCATTTTCAATCTCAGCTTATCATGCTTATTTGCAACCATGGTTGGAAGCAGCATGTTTTCGCTTGCTAAAGCGATGGCAGTACTGGTGCTGTTTTTTTGTGCAGATATGCTGGCATGTGTCGCGACCTAGAATTCGGAATCCAGCAGCGCATCTGCCATTACTCGTATGTAGATCTCATGACCGGCCCTGGCGGTCGTATGCAGTGACAGGCAATTCCGCTCTTCTGTTGGTAAAATTGTGTGCCTCATGATTGATTTTTGGAGCAGGAGATCTATAGTGACCACAGTGTATATGATTGGCGGCTTAGGAGGGGGAAACCGACGCTATGCAACCATACTTGGCTTAGTCATCGCTGAGGCCTGTGCGGCTTGCGTGATTGCCCCAGCGTTGGCACTTCGGTGGGTGAGGGCCTCTGATTCCTTCGCTTGCCATAACGTTTTGACATAGACCCCACAACTACCATTTTTATCCCAAAGTTGTCAGCCAATGCCTCAGATCCAGAACGCTGTGGCCAAAGATGCACAGGACAGTGTGGTATGTTAGCGGTTTGTACCTCCGAGGTTTCTCTCTGACAGTGGCCGGGTTTGATTTGTGCATGAAGTAATCTTTGCAGGATGAGCCGGAGCAAATCCTTTGCCAGGCTCAGCCTATGTTTGGGTGTCAAATTTCCCATTTGTTTTGTTTCATCTTCTGTTAGGCGGAGCAGATCCTCCAAGCTTCATTGGTCACCTCAGTGGGCAACGGGCAGTTTGGCTCGGTCTACCAGGCCGTGCCGTGTAAATGCGCAGCGTTTTAAACCAGCAGGCTTTGGCTTTCGAGCCCTTGCCCTTGACAGGTGAATAGCAAAGTGGCAGTGAAGCATGTGCGCGGCCAGTTAGTGGATGTCATGCGGGGCCCCCAGGATAAACGTGGATAAACGGAAGGTATGGATCTTGAGAAACCGCCGGAGATAAATCCTTGCCCTGGCAGCTGCTTTCATGCGCATAATTTAGGCGAGGCCCAAGTCGTCGGTCGCTTGGCTTTGTTTACAGCAGTTAAGGTCAGAAATCCGAGTGCTGCAGCTTGTCCAATCTGAGAACGTCGTCCGCCTTTTGGGCTTTGCAGTTCTGCCAAGCCAGGCGTTCCGGCTTTGATCGTTCGCATTGTTTCGGGAAACCTTTGCTCTTTGATTTTGCGAATTCCCTGACCTTTTGTTCAGGCTTATATCTACGTCGAAATGTGCTCTGGAGGCGTGGAAGTGTTGAGTTTCAGGACAAGGGCAAGTCCTTTTGCCTGAATTCAGGCGACATGGGCGGAAAGACGTTCGATGAAGATAGTCTGGCGCCACTGATGCTGCAGCTTGTGAACGCCGTGCAGCACGTCCATGGGAAGGGCGCCATCCACCAAGACATCAAGCCGCGGAACATGTTCCTCAAAGACACAAGGCGGAAGCACACAGGTTGCCTTGTCGGGTTGCCAGCCCGTGACATGCGACCTCCAGTGATTTAAACAGGCTTCTGCTTGGAGACTTTGGGTGCGTTTGCCTCCAGGACGGTGTTCAGTGCTTGCTGGTGTCTGGTTTCCCCGCATTCCACTTGTCGCTGTAGATGAAGTTTGCCCAATTTATTTGCCATTATTGTTACCTGTTGCTAGGCAGATGCAGCTGCGGGTCGGGCGCGTCTTGCTGCAACCTTGGCTGTCAGGGAAGCAGCATGTTCACGAAGAAGCAGCTAGCGTCTCCCACTGTAGTTTCCTTTCATGCCACAGGCTGAGCCGCTTGACTGCTCAGGCTGGCACTCGACAGTACCATCCTCCAGATGTGATCGCCGGTGCTTGCGCCTGAGTGGCCCTAGTGCCTGCAAAGAAACTCGGTCGATCTCCAAAATGGCATAATGGCTACCCGTTTCCTGTCCGGTCCCACATCGCTCCACCTGACAGGGGCCTCCGACAGCTTCCATGGATGTATGGGCGGTCGGCATCACAACGTGGGAGCTGCTGACTGGCGCTCGCCCATTCAGGACTTTTCCTTGCAACCGGGGCTGGGTTTCACAACCAGGTCCGCATGATTTGTGCTCCAACAATTAACAGCGATTAAGAGATTTGGCAGCATTTAGCTGCTGCACCACGTGACACTGACAGTTCTGAACCACGCTTTGCTGCTGAAAAAAAGAAAGTTATATAGATGAAAAAAAAAGGTGAGAAAAGTTTCTTTTTGACACCGTTCAGAGACAAGCTTTCTAGCAACTTCTTGGAGTCCCACCAAAGCCTGGGGAACAGATCCTGTTTTATTGTCCTGGCAGTGGCAGCGGAAGAGTGCCCGCCCGACATCGCAGGCTTTTTGGTTTGGGTCAGGGTCAGGTTCAGTTCCGCCTCGACATGGCGGCAGCTTTTCAGAAGCTCCGAAGCATCAGCGCCGTGAGTGAGCGATCAACTTAGTCTTGGGTTGGCGAAATGAGACAGCGACAATCCTTCCAATTGTTTTTTCCAAGTGTTTTGATTGGTTCGGTAGAATTTGTGTTCTAGTCCTTGCCCGCGCTCAGTGATTCAATGGCGGACGAGCGCCAGATACATGATGAGGCTGAGGTTGGGCGAGATTTTGGTTGGAGTCAGGGAGTTCAGTTAGTGCGTCCTTTTATTTCGCGGCAGGCCACCAAAACAAAGCCTGTGGACGCCCTCCGGGCGAAGTGTCCCAAGTTTGGGATGAAGGTGACAGCAGACCCAGACACTATTTTGGAATATGAATCTATGTTTGCGGGGTTCCCACCAGATGTAGGGCCGCTGAACCTCAGAGTGGTGGCTTTGATGATTTAACTTTCTTTATATTTTGGCTGTGTACTTGAAAGAACAAGGACATGTTTCTGCATCCTGACCCCGGTGTTGCTTGTGGAGCAAGGTCCCTGAGCCACGGAAGCAGCAGAAGGCAAGGGAGCATCAGAGAGCCACAGGCAAAACTGGCCCCAAGCTTGTGGAATCTCCGGTGATTACGAACAGCTTTGGCGCGTTACGTTTCCAAGTTGCAAAATTCTTGACCTTGGTTGTCGTAATGAAAGTAGCCGTTTGGAAATCTTTGGGCCAGTCAAGTAGCTCAGGCTGCTTCGGCGCCACCTACAGAGCATGCAAAAAGCACCTGTCAGTCAGGGCTAAGCAGGACTGCGGCGGAAAGTGAAAAACACAATTCCAGATTATAAAATAGTGGCAAAGCAGTCAGACGCCTGGTAGGTGTATTGTTGTTTGTTAGGACCTAGCAACCCAAGTATACTACTGGGACTTCTACCGGCAACGTTGCCGGGCAGACAAGGTGCCCCGCGGCGACTTCGTCGCCCCTGAGCTGGGTGAGTATTTGGCTGGATTCTTCAATGAAGTTTCAGATTCAGCTAGTTGGTTTGTTTGGGGGTTCAAACTGAATCTTTTTTTGAACATGTCCCACCTCACAGTATGCCGCCTCATGGGCTGAGGACTACCACGCGGATGGACTGTTCCCATTGAAGGGTCCGTCGATGCTCAGCAGTTCCATGAACTGTTCCCATTCCATGCTTCGGTCATCCGGCCGCAATGATGTTGAAAACAAAGTGACAGTGGTATACTACCCCTTGTGATTTTTGTGGAAGGCGGACGCTTTACCCACGATCAGCCTATTCAGCGGAGTTCTGGGATTGGAATGCGCAATGATGGAGTTCGGGCCCAAATGATTTTTCTTCAGCGGGCCTTTGAAATCTAGTTCTCTGCAGGCGGTTCCGGGCTGTATGTTTTGCCATCAACCCAGAACCCTGTCGCTGCCTCTCGCAAACCCAGCTGATGGATGCTTAGGTTGAGCGCGACAGCTATTGCCAGCAGGTCATAGCAGCCCGCCAACGAGATGGCGTGGCGACTTCTGGGCCCATATTCTCTGACGTGAAAACTTTCAGTCCGCTTTGCTTGAACTCACGCCCAGATGTGACGGACCGTCCATGTGGAATCATGGGCGGATTTCCATGCCAAGATCCTTGATACCATTTTGTTTTCTGCTGTTGTATCTGTTGTGTTCTTTTCACATAATTTGACAGCTTGCAGGGTTAGTTTCTGTGTGTGTTTGTGTGTTGAGTTGCAGCCGGCTTTCCTTTTCGCTAAGGGAATCTCGCGATCCGGTTTGAAGCAAGGGATCCTGGACGACCGATCGGGATTGATATGTCAAGTGTTTCGGATGCTGGACGAAGATGATGAGCTGTGGCTTGCATCAATGGGCATTGTCATTAAGAGTCATTGAATGTCAATTTGGTACACGCACCAAAAATGGATCCCCAAGTTACGAGCAAGTTGATATGATTGGTGTTCTACGTAGAATAATTCTCAGCTTCAGTCATGTTTGCAGGTATTTCGCACTTTTGGAGAACGTGAGCAACTTGCTCAGTGGTGACATGGCGCCCCTCCGCAACTACATGTTCAAGGCGTGTCGCAGTCAAGTTTCAATGTGTTTTGGAAGAGCTAAAGTTTTGCCACGCAGGAGTTCCACAAGAGGCATTTTGATGTTGCCTGGGCTACGACCACTGGGAAGATGTGCGGCACCCATGTGTGGGCCTTTGTTATGTGTAGTTTACAACAAACAAACTAATAGCTACTCATGTTTTGTTCCAAGGTGTGGCGGGAGCGGGTTTTCCTAGTGGCGTTCAAGCCGAGCTCTGGAAAACCTCATCCATTGAAGGCTTGATTTTCTCTCTGGAAAATGGGCATATTCATTGCTGGCAGGCTCTGGACGTGATGAGCAATGCCACGATCCATGCAAAGGCAAACGCCGTTTGGAACAAACGTGGTCGTTTGCCAGTCTCTCAGTGGCTCAGCCAAGGGAAACTCCAAAAGGCTGAACAGCACAGACTTCACACCCTAGGGAATGTGGTCATCCCAGCGTGTGGAAGGCTAGCGCTCCACACCATATCGCATGCCATTCAGCACGATGCCCGGTATGCCAGGTGATTCCCCATGTCTTATTCCTTTGTTGGCCTCGCGCTGTTACGCCCCAGTGTTTTCAGAGAGTGTGTAGTTCTGGAGATTCTGTTTATGTGTGAACAGACACTTTGATTGTACCTGGCAACGGATGCCCGTGTAACAGTAATTCAATGTGCACAGTGCAAGCACGCAAGAAGGTTTCAATGTCCTGCCACATCCGGCCCGGCAGAAGGATTTCGTTTTCTAGAACTTCCTTGACCAGCTCAAGTCCAGGTGTGCCTGGCTGGATTGACACGCTTACCGTTCTTCAATGTACTTCAACATACTTCAACTGTTGCCGATGGCCGCTAGCTACAAGCTCAAAATTGTAGGAGCCCTGGGGTTCCATCCCAAGCTATAGTAGGTGTCATGCCCGGCCCCATTCAAGGATGGCTTGCATCGTTTTATTGCAAGCACAATTTGCATTGTGGTCGTTCGCGTTTTGCTTGGGAAGAGAGCTGTGCTGATGACTCGTCATCTGATGAGTGGATTGTTCTGGACGATGACGACGGTGAAACTGAGATCAAGAAGTCAGAGGAGGCCGATCATTGTGTGACCCCAACTCTCTTTAGATTGGTTTTCTTCTGCAGCTGTCCAGGGCCCAGGGACTTCAAGCACCGCCGAGACAACAACCTCAGAGGCTATATTATCTTGAAATCTCGTGGGTGGTAAATTAAAATGTTTTGTTGTATTTTTAAACGGGGGGTGCAATTCGAATCAGTGGCAGGCTTCCCCCGCTGCGACTTCCACAAGCTCAACTTCTTCGTCAGATGCTGCGCATTCTGTTTCAGGCGCAGTTTTTGTTGGTCCGTTTGGCTCAATCAGTCAGGCGTTTTGCCTTTTGTGTTTCAGGTGGGTGTTTGGTTGCAGGTGCAGCCCAAAATGCCTTTGGTTCGCGAGGTCGTGGATAATGGATTTTCATCAGTTTTAGCTGAGACGACAAGACGAGCTGTTGGCGCACTGGCGGTGACAATGCATCTATGTCCTTCGTCATGGAGCGTCTGAGGTGCTCCCAGTTTATGAGTTGTTTCCCTTGGCTTGGCTTTGGGTTTGATGCAGAAGTTTGGATAACGTGCGCATCCCTGAGAAATTTGACGTAAGGTGACAATCACGACCAGGTCTCAGACCCCCTTACCTCATATCACGGCAGGGTTGGTCCATTTGCATGGGCAACACAGCTATGTCCCAGTGGACCAGTTGATTGCGCGGTGGGAGGAGAAGATGAAGGATGACATGTTCCACATGTGGTTCACACTTCTTAAACAATGCGCTATGAGCATAAACAATGTAATTTTGAAGTGAAATGTGTTGATCTGTTGATATCTCAAAACAATCTTCAGAAAGGACAATATGTTTTAAGAGAGATTGATGGCCCTAGCTATGTTTTAAGAGAGATTGATGGCTCTAGCTTGCAAGGACATTGTTTTCTCAGGAAATGCTCATGTTCTTTAAGATTGGCATTTCTTCATATAGATGACATCCTCTTGTGAATGAACTGTTTCCCGGTCCCACGCCTGTTCATCAGTATCTGTGGGAAATACACCGTGCTTTTGACATGGGCAATGCATACTGTGCATAAACAGGGTTCAAGGTATTTGAAATCGCCATCAAACAAGACACGGTTGAACAACTCCAACAAGGCAAGCAAAAACTTGCCGGGTGCGTTGTACAAAAGATCAGCAACCAAACTGATGAACGCACCCATCAGTTCCCACAGCTTTGTTCAACTCCTGGGCGTCCATGTTCTTTTTCCTGCGCCGATAGTTTTCTGTGCATAAGACTGGGGGTTAGAGGCACCTGGTTTTGTTTTTTGTGGTGGTGTTTGTGTGTGTGCTTGATGGTGTTTCGTGCAGTGGTGTTTTTCCTGTGCCTCAGACATGTGTTCCAAAGTGATGTTTCTGTGCCTAAGAGGGTGGGCTAGGCACTAATAGTTTTTCTGTGCCTTAAAGGGAGGCAGTTGGTTCGGTCCAGGGAGTTTTCTGATGAGGCAAACCGTCGTCGCACCACCAAAGGCTCATGGACCATCAAACGCGACCACCTCATTGATGCGTCCGTTTCGAGGCGAAGACGTGAGGACGAGAGATGCGCGAACCCACGAACCGATCGCGCGCCACAGGATTCACAGGAACATTTTGCCACCTAGTTGGCGGGGGTGGGCAGCCAGCTCATCCTTGTTCGCAGTTGGTTAAGTATGAACGGCACGGCGGCCCATAACCTGAATAGCTTGTGGCTCTTGACGCCAGCATCATCCATAAGGTTGTGTTTTTTTGCACACACGCACGTGCACGTCAAACCAAATCGAGTCCAAACAAATCTAAATTACGTACTCGCAGAATCTCGCAGAGCTAACAGGAATCGCGTTCCAAAGTTTGCTGCAGATTGCTGCAGATTGCAAGCACCAATTGAGACATTCATATCTGAGATGAATTTGCTGACTTGTGCGCCGTGTCGTTCCTCTGTGGATCGATGGCTTTGAGGTCATAACACTGCACTCAATGAAGAACACATCGACATGAAGAACACACTCAATTTATATGCCTCGGGCAACTTTACCAGTCATGAAAATGTTTGTCACTTTCTTGATTATGAACAAGTTAACTCAAACAACTGGTTTCACGTGTTTTTGGAAAACATTTGCACCATTCGATCGCTTCATCATGCCATTCGTGCGAGTGCCTAGGCGACTTGCGAAGGGTGTCCATGTGAACACGTGAAACTTCATTAGTTTGTCAGGTTTCATGTGACACCATGACGCTACTAGAAGTTCCTGGCCTTACTACTAGGAACAAGAAGCTACTAGGACCAAAGGGCATCGCTACTAGGAGCAAGGACGCTAGTAGGTTACGTTTACTCCATTTGTGGGGTACTTCTTCGAAGGAAACGGTTCCTTTGATGTTTGCTGTTTGCTTTCTCAATGCGGATGTGGTACAAGAATCGGTGCAGTCTGGGAACCCACAAAAATGACGTTCATGTGGCAGAATCCTGGCACTTCTGCACGATGCCAGGCTTCTGGTTGTTGTTGTGTTTGGATTATCTTTGACGTCAAGGAGTTTGTTATTCCCTGTCCACTCAATTTTATGTTCATGTCCGCTGTTTTTGTGTGAATCTGTTTGAAATTTTTCGTAATTTGGACGTTGCAGGACTTTCTCACAACCACAGGACTGCCTGTGTGCGCGTGTGTGCACAGAGTGGGAATATGTGGGAATTGACAAAGTAAGGAGCGACCCAAAGATGACGTGGTGATCTCAGAGAAACGCAAGATACTAGGAACAAGAACGCTACTAGGAGCAAAGGGCATCGCTACTAGGAGCAAGGACGCTATTAGGGGCTCCTGGCATGGCTACTAGGAGCAAGGACGCTACTAGGGGCTCCTGGACTTCAAGAGGTGGATTTGTCAAGTAGTTACAGCCAACTGAGTGGCCTCGGTGCGACGACATGCAAGAGGATCAACCGCGACGGGCTGCAAGGTCCAAGGAAGAAATTCAATCTCGACAGCTGCTTGCAGGATCGTAAGTCAAACTAAGCGGAGAAACTGCACGACAGCAACAGTAGAAACATATCAATTTATTACCGCACAAAGACTTGACCAAGGGAAGCTTTTTGCCCAGAAACATGGCAAGCAGCAGAGCTTTGAAAAAGCACTGGGTTCGTTTTAACAACTATTTGCCTGTTTCAACAAGTCACATAGTTGTTATTGGTTGACAACAAAAGGAACATTTGATTTCAGTGTTTCAGGAAATTGTTAAGCAATCATGTGAGGGGAACAAAAAGTGAACAAAAGAGGTGCAAAGTAGTGCGCTACGAACGGGGCTTCTGGCCTTACTAGGAGCAAGGACGTTACGAACGGAGCAAAGGGCATCGCTACGAACGGAGCAAGGACGCTGACTTTGCTGAACCCACGTGGGGCTCCACAGCCGCTCTTGCGATGGCGGGCTATGGTCCGGCTCCACGAGCTCCTGCAGCCAGGGCCTCTGCCTTCAGGGCCAGTTTTGGAATTCATTTCTTGTCCAATGGAAGAAGAATGTCTGAAGGAACAGTTGGAATACAAAGGAAGAAAGGTATTTGAAGCTGCTGGTTTGCTGCGCAAAGTGGTGTACAGCAATTCTGCATAGAACGCTCTTCACACACACACACACGGACGGACGTGAGTAAATCCACAAGCATACAGTGAAGTCATTGGCGCCGCTCCGCGGCTGGGTCCGCCCGCACCAGTAGAAACGTCATAGAGACCGGGGTGCTACACGGAATCCCTGTGGTTTGGAAACGAGAAGCAACATCCATGAAGGGCTATCCAACCTACTAGCAATTCAAATGGCCTCCACCCTAGTAGCAATGGCCTCCAACCTTCTAGCGATGGCCTCCACCCTAGTAGTGATTTGTTTAATCTAAAAGACGGAAAAGGGCAGTTCGATAAGATGGGTATCATTGTGAACTCCGGCCTTCTTCGGCACAGGCAGAGTCGTGCGCGCGCGCACTGTATATTACTTCTTTGAGGGTTTTTTGAATTTCTTCAACTCTTGTCGGCAAAAACGTCTTTGGTTGGAGGTCATTGCTCTTAGGTTGGAGGCCATTGTTCTGCTTTTGGAGTTGGTGAGTCGTGCTTCCATGAGGTGGGTGCCGTAAATCCATACCCTCCAGGCGCAGCTGGCGAAAGTCAAGTCACATGGGACATGCATGTTCTTCCAAGACCTCTATAACTTCTCTGTCGATTTTGGCTACGGTCTTCCAGAAGGTTCGAGGCCATTGCTCTTAGGTTGGAGGCCATTTTAAGGCAAGCATTTTCCTTTGATGGTCCCCTTCAAGTCGCTTCTTCAAGTCTCCAGATCGCTCATGGAGGCGTGCCCCCACTTGGGGCACCACTGGGAGCTCCAGCTCTTGGGGCACCAGTGTGGAACTTCCCATGTGGCGCTCCCTGTAGCGCGATGCCGACGGGTCTTCCGTGTGGCGCGATGCCGACGGGGCCGACTGGTCTGACCGGTCCAGCCGTCGGGATGCCGCTGACGACACCGGCCCCCGTGGCACCTGCGCCAACGGTACAAATGCCGAATGATGGTTCTTTGGAGGTTTTTAGTAAGCTTCTTGTTCCTAGTAGTAACAAGTGCATCGCTAGTAGTAACAAGTGCCTTACTAGTAGTAACAAGAAGCTAGTAGAAACAATCAGCTAATAGCTTCTCGTTCCTAGTAGTAAGGCCAGCAGCCCCTAGTAGCATCCTTGCTCCTAGTAGCATCCTTTGGAGGTTTTGAAGTAAGATGTCTTTATTAAAACATCAGACATATGCAACTACTAGCGATGGTCTCCAAGCGACTAGTAAGAAAGCAATCAGAAGTATTTAGACAAACATTAAACAAAGAAGGACACCAGTTGCATTCTAGCGCGTTTGCACAAGTTGAAGATCAACCTATAAGAAAATGCTTAGTGATCTTAGTGGTGACTCGCAGTCAGTGAGGTTGGGGTGCCGTGGCAGCTGCCTTGGGACCACTTGGATATGCAACTCCGACACCGACGGCAGCTCCAGCTGCTCCAGCTGCAGCCGCGCCTGCTGGTGGTGATGCAGCACTTAACTCGCTGCTCACTAGCCTCGGCTTAGGACATCTCCTCCAGACCCCCCCTGTCGCAGCCCCTGTCGCAGCCCCTGTCGCAGCCCCTGTCGCAGCTCCTGTCGCAGCTGTCACTCCGAATCCTTTAAGTGGCCTTGACTTGAGTTCTTTGAGCTCAATCCCCGGACTGGAGAGCTTGGCATCCATACCGGGTTTGGAATCCTTGTTGGCTCCTGCTCCTGCTCCTGCTCCACTTGGACTTCCAAATCCTGGCGTCGTGCCCTCCAGATCACGGGGCAAGGGCAAAGCTCCCAAGGGCAAGTCTTTCGGGAAGGGCAAGCCTTTGATGCAGGACTGGGAACTGAGATGAATTTGAGATTCTTTGGAGACAGGAAGATGGCAATCTGGTCACTTCTAAGGCCTAGATGAATCAACACGATGTCGATGTCGATGTTTCAACTTCAGGATCTTCCAGTTCTCACTTCGCAGGAGGTTCAGGAGCAGGGTTTGCGGGTAAAAGCGGAAACCTTAGGCTTGCCAAGTTGTCCGAAGCAACGTTGCAAACTGGTGGCGTTTTTCTGGTTGCAGGAGCCTGGAGTCTTTGTAGCCGCAGCCTCGCAGAAGGATGAAAGAAAGTGCAGGGCTTTGTTGGCGCACAAGGTGCCAGCTGGGCCGAAGATCTGTCGGATCCGGTCTATCCCAAGGAGCAAGGACGCTACTAGGAGCAAAGGGCATCGCTACTAGGAGCAAGGACGCTACTAGGGGCTCCCCTGGCCTTACTACTAGGAGCAAGAAGCTACTAGGGGCGCTCCTGGCCTTACTACTAGGAGCAAGAAGCTACTGGGGGCTCTTGGCATCGCTACTAGGAGCAAGGACGCTAC